TAAGCTGCGGAACTTTTCGATTAGGCAAATATTATGCTGACAGCTTGAGATTTTATATTAAAAATTTTTTATTCGTTTTTATCACATATCGAGCAATGCTCCTACTTATTTTTGCACGTACTTTCATTGTGTGGAAGCATTTGTAATTCTGTGTAATCAATACGACGTAAACTTTGCAGAAAAATTTCAATGTTCTGTCGATTTCTGAAGTTTTCAGCTTCAGTATCCTCTTAACAGTTCGTACATCCCGTGCGAGGTAATATAGATTCTACTTCGACGGATACTTTCATTCATTGTGTCGCGGAATCTTAATTGTCGCAGTAACTTCATTGTTCATTGTATCTTCTCATCGTTTCTCTGGGAGAATGTCTTGACGTGATCGACAAATTTTCTCGGAGATCCAAAACGGACACGCGACACGTGCAACGTGAATTTCTCAACACGGAGAACGCGAGAGTTGACTCGCGAGAATTAACGCTCGCTAAGTGGCCCGCTAATCTCTTCCGTTATCGTGCTGCTCGCTAACACAATGACCCAACACGCTAATCCCGGACTAAAGATCCGTGAATTACTCGCTCTTTGGCGAGTCACTCGCAGACACGTGTGCCTAAAGATTTGTCATCCGAGAGGGAGACTTGCTTTCGGCAGTACGCGAGTGGAGTCTTTGATAAAGCTGTTTGTGTGCGATGAGTCTCGCTGGCAGACACGTGTACCATGGCTTTCTACGGCATTGTAAAATTCGGGCTGGATTTCACACAAAGATCTTAACTATCGGGGGATTTCCCGAATTGCCTTAGATGCACTGAAAAAAAAATACTCGAAAATTTATTTGAACAATGTAAAATTTAATCATAGAACCTTTATTATCTTATTGTCTTTACTGTAGAGTAAGTATAAGTTATTATACTATAAGTTGTACGTATAAGTTATTATCTTTATTATACGGTAAAAAAGGTATGGTGCACGTATCCAAAAATATTTAATTGTGAGCAGTATTGTAGTATTACCCATAATTATTTTAGTGTGATAGTAACTGAAAAAGAAAGTATAGTAATTGAGAAAGTAACCGAGAAAGAAATATCTGAAAGTTTATATATTTGATGGATATAAAGTTTGATCATAGATATATTAATAGAAACCTTATTTCGCAGAAATAAGCTTTACTTCACGGAAAAAGAAACTTGATGTCCTACATATAAATTTCCAAGTATTTTTTTCAGTGAAATGTATATGTGATGTGACTCAGTTATCTTGACACATCAACTATATCAGTGTAGTTGCACGTAATTTGATTGTGACAACCAGAAATCAGGTTGTGGCATTTACCATGGATACATTCTGATTGAAACAACTACAGGTACACAAAATACTTGAAAATTTATTTGCAGAATACAAAATTTATATATAGAAATAAACTTTATCCCGCAAAAATAAACGTTATATCCCACAAATAAATTCTCCAGTATTTTATTTACAGTATATATCGTCACTGCTGCAACGCTAGTAATTCAGCACTTACTTTGTGGTTGCAACAACCACATAATTAATTGTTCCGTAGATTTTTACCATCGAATCTGATTAGCACATGGAAAAAAGATTTGGTTAATTCAACCAAACCTTTTTTTCCGTGCATAATTAAATTTATGCGTAAGCCAGTCATGCTGTTTTTTCCGTGTATTTTTATTATATTCGTCTCTTGAAGTTCCTCAAGGTGTTG